AAAAGAAAAGAGGCGGAGGTGGTATGGAAACAGGAAATCAATTGTTGGGTCTGTGTTTTGCTCCAGCTGCAGCTAGACTAAACCTCTGAGTGTGCGTGAGAGAGAACGGGAGAGAAATGAAGACCAAAACTGAAGATTCTGATGGGGGGAAAAAAGAGGTCAAGAGAAGATGTGGAAATAATCAATGTACCAGTAACCAGGGAGGTCAAGGTCAGAGGGACAACAGTCAAGTGATAAGATTTCCGGTGTTAACTTGGTCACATTTTTCTGATGATTACGATACATTTGACTAAATGCTTATCAATGAAAATCAATAATGGATCTGTAATTCTTGACTTGTTTAACTGCAATCAAAGACCATTCTAGAAACCAATTCTAAACTGTGATATATCTTTGCTTTAGAACCACCAATTTAAGTTATCTGCGTTGTCTCAAATTCACAAAAATCAGCCCCATTCCAAAGAAGCATCGTAACAGAATCCTGTCCCACCAAGGTCAGGTGGGGTTGTCAACACGTAGTAAAAAAAGAGGGAGTGCATGTGACCACTACACCACCCAGCAGTCACGTTAATTATTGATGATGGTGTCCCATGACCTAGGCTATTGATTGAGCAAATTGGAGCCCCAGTTATTTTACAACCTCCATATCATGTGGCAGCTGCAGCTGCATGTGTGTCAGTGTGTACTTCTCTTTCAAAGTGAATGAAGAGATTGTGTTTCGGCTGTCATTATGTGGAAAGTAGCAAGACATTGTGTTATACCCCTGTGAGTATGAAGAATCTCAACGTGTGTGTGTGTGTGTGTGTGTGTGTTAGATATGTGTGTATAACAAAAAACGACTTACAAGTGAACAGTCGTCCTTACATGCTGTCCCTGTTGCTGATATTGATTTGAAAATAAATAAAAGATGATTCCCGGGGATAACCTTGATATTTTTAATTAATCACACACACTCTGTCATCCGGAGAGGTGCTGCGTTTCCTCTCCTGGGGCGCACACGCACGCACGCACGCACGCACGCACGCACGCACGCACGCACGCACGCACACACACACACACACACACACACACACACACTGCTGGTGTATGTCACTGTAACACTTCTCAGTTCTTCTCTAGATGAGTAGTTAACCTCCTGCGAGCTGAATCTGATTTAACCATCAGCCTCTGTCAGAGCTACCCTGGCAGAAGAAACGGGGCCTATATTATCCTTTTCCAACTGTTATAAAAATATTTTTAGGGTTTGCGGTCAAGCATATACAACATATCACTATACTGTCATATGAAAACCTCATACCGTAAGTGCAGCTTTGGTTATTGATTTTTTACATTGAGAGTTTATGGGATCCTCTCAGTGCCTAATAAGTTTCTCGGCTGTGTTAGACACTTAAAAGTCCCAGTGTATTTTTTACTTGGAAATGAGAATGTTTTTCTTACGCTCGTGGAGTGTTGACTTGCCAAAGTCATTCGTCCATGTATAGTATGTTAAGTTCCCCCAGCATTAACAGAGGGCCATGCTTAAAGGATAATGTGGTGATATTAAATATTTTCCATAATATTAAGAAATGGATCGTACTAAAAAGTATATTTTGGCCTAGCTAAAGAATAACAGCACATTACTTCTTAAATATATTACAGTAAAACCATCTAATGAGGCACACAATTGCACAGAATGACTTGTTCCGTCATTGAAATAAGTAGTTATGTAGTTTGATGATTCCCAGTTCTGCAAACTCTCAGTACCACAACTAATGCTCAACATGCATATTAATCCACAACTGAAAATAGTCCCAGACAAAAGCTGTGTTTTTTTCTGTGTGAGTAGTGTTAAAAACTGTAATGTCCTGCCGTTGACGGAAATACAAAAATATATTTCTGTGACCTTATAATAAATGTTTATATTTTATGAATTGGGCCTAAACTATAGACAGATTTGGAAAGTCCAAAAGTATAAAGCCTACAGCCTTATATATGCAGATGCATAAAAGTTCTTGTTCAGTCCCATTGGTCTCAATCTGTTATTATAGCAGAACAAGAACTAAAATATTATCCACATTGTTATCATAAATATGATTAGGGACTTTGGGATAAGAAAGCCAAAGATGTATTGGCACCACATTTACCTGTGAATATGAATAACTCCATAATTGATTAGTTTCTAATCCGCAGTGAGATCAATGCTGGAAGTTCATACACAAGAGTATATATGGTACCTAAATGGAAACAGATCCAGTTGGACTGGAGCCCAGTGCTTTAACTATCCAATGAATACAGTGAAAGGATCTTTGTTTGGTGTTATATAGGGGTGAACTGTCAGGGGCATGTGTGCTCTGTCAGAGGTTGTTTATGGATAGAGGGATTAAATCTCAGTCTGCCACTGTTATGAGATTCATTCATTCTAACTTTTGTCTTTTCAAACACACTCCTGTTTTATGTTCTCTGTTCATTTCTGCTGACCCTGCGGCTATCTCGCTGCTTCTCTTACCTGATTGGCTGGAGCTGCTGGCTGTCACGTCTAATTTCCTGGTGTGTCCCCCAATCAGGGTGGTCTGTTTTGTGTGTGTCAGCAAGTGTTGTGGTTGTCATTCCATCAGTATGATTATATTGGGCTGTTTAAACCCGCTTCACATTCTATTACTCTCTCCCACACACACACACACACACACACACACACACACACACACACACACACACACACACACACACACACACACACACACACACACACACACACACACACACACACACACACACACACACACACACACGCAAGCACACGCACGCACGCACACACACTGAGTTAAGGGGAGGTAGAGGAGTGTTTAGTGCAGCATGGGACCTTGGTGTGCCGTGTCAGTGATGAATATGGCTTTTACAGAAGTGTGTTGTCCACCACTGGGATCTGTCAGAGCTGTTCTGCTGAGCCCACACATTCTGCTGGCCCAATGCTGTTGGGGCAGGCCATATCTTTAATCTTGTGTGTGTGTGTGTGTGTGTGTGTAGGTGTGTGTGTGGTTAAAACGTAACAGCCTGTGGTCACTCTTTATA